TGTGACATAGCAGGGCAGTAGTAGATGCTAATAAGAAGCATAAAAATCGGCTTAATATCGGTGCATTGGATGCGGTATTAAGCCCTTTTTCAGTTCTATATGTATAACTATCCCCGAAATGCCTACCTTTCAGTGGAACTTTTTCTGACCCATTTATCCAATGTTAATTCCATATATTCCTCCATTTCGTTACAGAATGGATTATATGACTTCCACCATACTATACAACTGTTTTATCTATAATAATCACATCATTATTAACCCATTCAAGGAAAACAAAGGTGAACCAGTTGGAATACAGTGAGAAGGAAATGACATCTAAAATGAGTGAAATATCTGTTACGGGATATACTCAAAACATTGACTTCCCTCCCATATTGAAACTGATGGTTTACTTTGCAATCTATTCATCATTTCCTATTAAAAAGTGTATCATGAGCGTTTGTGTACATATATTCGTTCGCTCGCTTTTGTTGTCAGCAGTGTATGTTCAAACCGATGGATGCATTCATCATGACTGTTATTGGTTGGACACGAGGTGCCATAAAGTGATTCATAAAGCATACCTTTTTCAATTTAAGATGTCCAAGCATCAAGTTAATATGTCATGTTGCTATGTGGATAGTCCAATTACTCCATCGTTTCACATTGTCTTGTACTTTTCGTGATAATTTTGTTGTCATCCGTGTGGTGAGGGCATGCCTGCTGTACAGCCGTAGTTCGCTGGGTATGCTAAAGACTCGCGGTTGTGGACAAGGTGGAGTTTCTCGCTCGGGTTAGCTGGACAAGCACCATGTCCCTTGTTGCAGTTGAACTATCCGATCGATCGATAAACAAACCCAATCGGTCATGTGATTTCCGGGCCGGCTTAGGAGGAGGAGGATAAGTTCTGAATCGGGTGCTGTCTAGGTTGGTAGAGTATAACCACAGGAGACTCGGTTGTTTAACGGTGCACCATGTTGGAGATTCACAATGAAAAAGTTCAAGCGATGATGACACTGGGCCAACGTTTGACTCGTCTAAAATTCACGCGGGTTCTCGAGCACATTTTCCGGTAGGCGTGAGAAGGAAGAAATTTACTCCTGTTCAGCCAACCGAAGGCCATAGATGACAAACTACAGGAATTACGGCAATTCTCAAGCAGTTAACGGTTCATAAACTAAAAGTGCATCTCACAAACTGTCCTTCGATCAGGGTTGCGATGAACTTTGGCAACTGACCTGTCTAATTTCATCCTTGCTCTACGACAAGTTTCGTTCATTCATTCACACAGGTGCATGTGACTAGAGCAAAACTGACCTCATTCGAGTGCCTCACATTGCATTTCAGCGTCCCACAGAATTACAAAAAACCTTTGCATATTATAAAGATGTATTTTTTTAGCAAAATCACAAATCCTCGTTTGTCTCAGGTTGGCCCTCCGTTGGAAATCAACAAACGCACTGTTTAAATCAACTGTACACTCCAGTAATCGATCCGAACTCCGAGCATTAGTCAAGACAAAGAGCTTCAATTAACCCAATAACTTCTGCGCCTCTCTGATTGAGATAACTTCCGGCGCATTCATTGCCTCACATTCATCTTCTTTGCGATGCTTAGCTTGATTCGGAACGAACTCATCGAATGACTAAAAAAGAGACTTGATACAAAAATTTTAAATAACCCACTTCCTCATCATCAAATTCCAAACATGCGGTTTCTTCTTCAAAAAGGCTGTCATCAATAGACACGTAATGATTAAAGTCCTCGATCAAATCGTATTTATCTTCTGGTGACTGCATCACCAGCTGAATCAATGTGGATTTGAACCCTGCTCACATGAAAGCGTTGATCAGTACATCTACATTGAAAATATCTGTCAGCATATCCTTGTATTAACTGCGTAAACCCCGCTCGATACTCGTCCACTGCATCACGTGGTACCGCCAAACTTTCCCCACAGACCTATAAACTAAGGCACATGAGTTACTTGTTTCTTACTGTGTACGATTGAATACAATATCTGTCTGACCAGGAGCAAAACCAACCTCTGGAAGCCTTGAAGTCATTATGATACAGTCTTTGTGCTAGCTGGATTGCCTTCTTACATACGATGCCCTCCACCATTGGAAACTCTCCGTGCTTTTTCCCCGTAGCGGTAAACCAAGCAAACGTTGCCTCATTCACAGCCTTCAA